CTGTCACCCGAGCTTCCCGAGCCCGGCGGTTTGGAGTTTGGAGCTCCGTGGCTTGGTGGTTTTGATTGGGGTGTCCCAGTTACCCACTGACGCCAGGGTCCAAATCTCCGCCAACCCAAGGCACCAAGGGATACCTGATTCAAAAATGAGTGGAGAAGCTGGGGGTCCTGCAGGCGGGGGTTGGGATCCCCTTAGCGAGCAAGCGAGCAAGCAAGCAAGCAAGCAAGCAAGACAAGCAAAAAACATCCAAAACCACCAGCACAAGGCCAGCCAAACTCAGTGAGATGCTTTGAGCCGCGCGTTGGTAAACATGTCAAATCACAGACTCCCACACCACGGTGACACTCAGTTGCACAACTTGGCCAATCTCGCGGCAAGGGGGTTTCCCTTTTCTGGACGGGATCCGTTTGTTGGGACCCTTGCCCCGCTCAACAACCAAGAACTGGGGAAGACATGCCCCCACCCCCACGTATGCGACACCCGGTCTTGTCAAAGTCGATCTGGGAGTTCTTGAGAGTTCGAAGAGCCTGCGACGCAGGGATCCCGTCCACAATCTCCCGCAAATACCTGCACGGCATCGGGCTTCTCTGACATGTTGCTTTTCTGGCTGAACAAGTTGATGAGACTTCCACCCGGCATTGTGGGAGACTAAGTGAGTTTTTCACGTGTGATAAGGTTGTAGTTGAGCAATCCTAAAGCAACGCCAATGACAATTACTCATTGAGACCATGAGACGTATATAGTCGTGGTTCAGTGATCCCGGAGACTATTCCCTTCGACTTGCGCGGACAGCGCTGACACGCCTTGGCGTTATGTGGCGCTTGCTACCTGAGGCAGGGCGGAATGATTCAACCAGCAAAGAGCTCGCCCTCAGAAAGACATTCTCCAGGCCCCAACAAACTGCTTGACTTGTTGCACGAGTGCCTTGATTCCGCCCTTCGCACCGTGCAGGGTATAAACCTCTCCCTCCCTCAGCGAGACTTGTCCAATCATAGGACTCAATTGAATAAAGGCCTCAAGCCGTCGGCCAGTGTCCGGCAATAACGAAGCGCGGCCCGGAAGCTTCGACGGCTCTTTCTTGGCCGTCGGCTAAGCAAGGCAGTCTCATCATCGTGGTGCTCCTGGAGAATTCTAGTCACAATATGTTGTTTGAGATGTTGCCAAGTCATGCTGCTCCGTGCATCCAAGGGTTGCTACATGTTGCTACCAGCTTCAAGACATAGGTATGACTTCGTGCTGGTGACAGTTGGGTGGACATCAATTCCATGGTGATTGATGCCCACCAACCTCGCAAGGTTGTTCCCCATTCAAATTCGCATGAACTGCTTTCACAGGTCAAGGCATTTTGATGGATTTCGCACTTCAATCGGCGGAAGGAAGCCAAGAACCCTACTGGTTTCCCCTAACATAGGGTAGAAGTAGGGCGGTGCTGTTAGTGATAGATGAGGCCCGCCTTGTCCTTCCTTCATCAACGCAAGGCTGGCTGTCATACTAGCAGCTTTTCAAATCGAAGCGTATCAGGATAAACATCGCGCGATCCTTCAACAGCGCAGTTTCAATTGTAACCCTGCAGTGAGCAACCAGCAACTGAACCAGCGAAATCGGTGTGTGGCAACGATTGTTGCAGACTGGAGCAGCTTCCTAGGACCTCTCCCTCCTTCGACAATGCAGCTTGCCAATGGTTTACGAGTGGCGGAAGATATTCAAGCTTCGCAGCACCTGTGAGCTTCAGGCTTGAACTTGATCAGTGTCCCTACCATACCTACCAAACATACACATATAGCCTCCGCCGACCCCTTCTTGCCAAAAGGCAACAAATCATTGTTGCACTGATCATTAAATCATAAGTTCATAAGTTATGATCATCAAAAACATGTTCATACTCAACAAAAAGCGGAGTGAACGCATGGCTCGTTTTCGCGCCCGTTGGCAGTCTGGCTCCAATGTGAGATTCTTTCGTTGGCAACCCCCGTACATATATACATATATTTGTGGAGGTATTATTTTCATATATATATATATATACATAATGTTATGTTGTCTAACGTGTGTTCAGACTGGGGTCGGCGAAACAGGGCGGCAGCCCTTGAATCATCTACCTTACTCAACCACAGGACTGTGGCTCTGCCTGTGTCCAAACTCCAGCCAGGATTCTCCGGACTACCCCATCTCATCCTGATCTCGCATTTATATCGTCGATATGCGGATGCCTCAGGTGAGTGGCGCCATGATGCAATCGACCAAATGGCCCATGGATGGGCGAAAGTCTTTTCCACTCCCAACGCAGTTTCGTATTCCCTTCTCGTGCTCGGCTGCTATTATCTGGTTTGCAAACGCAAGCTTGTTCTGGCACAAAAAGGCTTCCAGCCCATACAAAGTCTCCATTTGTCTGGACCGACGACCCGCAACACGTGCCAGTGTCCTTGCACAAGGCATCCCAAATGTCCGTCAGCTTCCTGAGAGATTTTGTCAATCCGTGTGCGCTCTTAGCAGGTGCGTTGACTAGGCTTTAGGGAGCTCAGTGCCAACACATCCAGCCAGGGGTACTTAAAGGGGCAGGGTGCTGAAGTGGTTGCTAAGACTGATTATAACCCACTTAGCCGACTTACAACCATGGTAAGTGGAGTTATAATCATGGTTGTTGCCCGCTTACTAAGTACCCTGCCCCTTCAAGTAGCAAAATCATAGCCAACTCTTGATGCCCTGCATCCATCCATGACCTGCGTACACACATTGGCATTCGCATGTTGCAACAAATGATGCCGAGCCTGGAAACACCTTGTCGTCAATCTTTGTCCAGCAGTACGGCTCAACACTTCTGCTGGATTGCACAAACATCTCTGTCATGAGTTTCCGAACAAGAGTAGCAATTGACCTAGCATGTCTTGTCGGACATGCCTACACATATTAGTAGCGCATTTGTCACATGTCACATTACGTGGCACTTCAAAGGACTCCATCAAACAGAGATACCCCTCTAAATGCAGCTCTCGAGGACAGAGCTTTGCTCTCTGCTTTGGTGAATTTGACTAGTCCAACTTTGTGGAAAACCAAAGAATTACTGCAAAATGCTACAGGAAACACGAAGTCGCCAAACAGCCGGTAGGTTTTTTCTCGCCACAGTCAACGGGGATATCTGTGACTCGAAACGTAGGACTACACAAGCGGGAAACTCAAAGGGCCTTTGCTCAAGGACGATGATCCCACTGGTTACACACACTGTGGCGCATGATATTTTCGCAAAGGCAAATATAGATTTCGTGATAGGTATGGCATTTCCATAGCGTTGGCACGGATGTATCGCAAATCCCATTGGTACGGGCGCATAAGGTGACGCATACAGATTTATTGGTAAACATAGCACTTTCGCAAGGTTAGGTACAGATTTCGTAATAGGCAAGACACTTTCGCATGGTCGAGTGAGATTTCGTGGCAGACATAACATTTTCGTCAGGTCAGGTATACACAATCCGTGCTTGACTTAACGAAAATATCGTGCTTGCCACGAAATCTGTGCCTAGCCTTACGCAAGTCTTTTTGCGATTTTTAAAAAACAAAAGGAATCGTATTTTCGATCGCGAAATATTGCATTTGCCACGAAATCTATATTTGACCTTGTGAAAATATCGTGCCCGCTACGAAATCTACACTTTTCGCAAGGTTAGGTACAGATTTCCTAATAAGCACGATATTTTCGTAAGGTCAAATACAAATTTCATAACAAATATAATATATCGTGATCGAAGGTATGATTCTACTCTTCCAATTATTGCTCCAATATCGCAAGATTAAATACAAAAAATATTCGAAGTGTATGCCTCTGCAAAAGTAGCACGAATTAAAGAAATGCGCTAAGCTATACGTCAGAATTGCCCCAGTCAACCCCCGCGTGCCGTTTCAAGCCGCGGAATTTCTTATGCGTATGCCGCGCACCCAAGAAGTCAGAATTCAATAGGGAACATTAGATGTGAGAAGCTGCCTTCTTTCCGAGTGCATGTCATTTCAGGCCGCGAGACGCTGCAGAATTTGTTTCAACACACATGCGGCTTGGAGATTTTGGGAACGAATATTTTTAATATGGCATATTTAATCAGCAAAACATCCTCGTTAAAATTAATAGTAATGCAAATTCTATAAATTTTATGCATTTTATTTTTTTTTATTTCCCAATTCTATGAATTTTATAAATATATATATATATAAATATAAATATCATATATATACATATATATAGTTCTTTAAATAATATGTTTTTTGAAGAGCCGGGATTTTTTTTTTTTTTTTTTTTTTCATTTGTGTATTTATATGAAAACCTATACAAACAAACCTACCCAACCTACGAGAAGTGCCTACGCGAGCGCAAATCAATTTGTGAATATAAATAATTAAATATTAAAATATTAAATTCAAATAACGAAAAAAAAATAAAAATCGGCAAATCGCAAATTTTCTAAAAAACAACTCCGACTCCAAAATTAAAAATATAAAAAAAAATATCCAAAAATCTACCTATTAAAAATTCTTCATATCCAAAATATCATAAAATCATATCCAAATACCTATGCCAAAAGAAAAACCAATTCCTTTATATATAATAAATCGAATCAACAAATGCCTATGTGAAAAGCCTATACACAAGAATATTATAATAATCTATTTAATAAAATCTATATATAATAGTTTTTTTTAATAAAACCACATTATTCCCATAATTATATATATATGTTTAAAATAATAATTATAAAATTAATAATCAAATTCTAAATATATAAAATAACCTTTCTATATCAAAATACCAATAATTATATTTAAATCCAATTTATATATCATATTAATATATTCATAATTTTCTCAATTTATAGATTTTATTCTATTATTTGCCTAACCATATATATATATATTGTTTTAAACCAAACCAACTAAAAAATGAAACCTATACTTCTTATTTTAATAAAAAGATCATCATCAATTCATTTCGTCATTGCTATTAATAACTAATATAGAAATACATAATCATTGTAACTGTACTTATGTTCATTTCCGCTTTGGGAAATATTAGGCTGCCTCTGTCAAGGCAGGAAGTGCTGCCGGAGTTCTTGCTGGCAGGGCCTTGGATACAGAATCTAAGGTACCCTCCCACCGACTGACCACTTTCCTGTTGGAAAGGGGCTGTACACTTCCATGTTAGTTGGTGGGAGGGTATTTGGGACACGCAGATTAGACAGTCCTTGTCAGAGGCTGTTAGGCTGACGACATGCGATCAAGCCAAACACTGATCCAAAGCGCATCTTGTCCATTGGTTTCCTTCCGCAAGTTGGACTCGCAACGAACCACCGAATGCTGTCTCAGGAACCTGTGGAGGAAGCGAAGTGCTCCCCAAATGCTCAGCGAGGCCAGAGATCTCTGCGCAGGTTTCGCTCAAATGATGCACCATGTCCTTAGTGGCGCAAACTACTGTGGATGGCCGAGTTTTTGCACCACCCAAGAAGCCTTGGAATGGTCTGAAACCCTGTAAATACCAACAAACAGTGGTTTCTCATGATTTCTTAGGTGGTGCAGGATTTCGTCCATCCACAGTAGAGCAATGCTAGAACCCAGATTTGCTGTAAGCAATTTACTGCCTTTCCTGGAGGCTGCTTACTGCGTACAGAAAACTTATGCTTGACCCAACATGCAGACCGGCAAGGACACTTCTAGTATGCAAGTCTGTTCCCGAAGACTCTTGACTTTGATTTGGCTGATGTCATAGATCGTGCATGTGTCAGGGAACCACCACGCACCTTTACAAGTGTCTTGGCTCTTGAATTCACGGTTCCCCCACAGGCATCTGAACTCTTGTCTCTGGTTCCCCATGCCCAGTGACGCGCAATCTTTGCAGCTGCTCGGAAGTGGTGTTGATGGCGTTCCTCTGGCTGTACTGCCGCTTTTCCAGCTCCTGCGGACACATTTATGATTTTTCATTGGGCACCCTTTGGCTTTTCACCATTTAGCTGGGGATTAATGTCCCACCAACCAGGCCAAACAATTCAACCCACCAACCTTTGGTCACACCATTTTGATGGGGGGTTGAAAATGTTCAGCCTTTGCTCGCTCGCCTGCATTTCCTCCCCGAGGATGGAGGCGATCCCATCGGCCATCTCCTAGAGCAAACGGGGATCGGCGGAGCTGCGGAAGCCAAGAGTCTGCAGAAGAAACCAACGACTTACAGTAGAAACCCAGAAGATGTTTGAGCTCCCCGAGCCCAACATGTCACGTGGTACAGCCAATGGAGCTTTCAACAAAAAGGCCAAGGGCCCATGTAACCCACAAAACTCTGGGGTTCGGCCAAAATAGAAACTGGCCCGTCACGGATGCACCTTGAGGCCGGGGCATTGGAATGGTCTTGCGCAAGTCTCTTGACCTTTTCCAAAGCCTGGCACTGCAAGTCGTGACGCCAAATGGCTGTGGGTCAAAACCAATGGTGCCATTTTGGGCTCGGTGCACCACCCATTTTAGTCTATTTTAGTGGGGATTGGGATGTTCACTGGGGGTACGGGATTTTGACCCACAGCCAAATCAGGCAATGCGTAGCATGTACCATTCAGCAACATCAAACTTGCTCAGCTCAAATTAGCCGTGGGCACTGACTAGTTCGCACGAACTGTGTCAAAGCCTGACTTGACTAGACCCACAACTAGGTCACTAAACTCATGGTGACTCGCCAGTGCCCATGGCTCCCGCCCCCTTCCGCGCCACTTCCCGACTCCCGACTCACCTGCTCGGCACTGTTCTCGCCTCCCGGGCCTTCGCCCTGGCGAGCCGGCAATCGATCGGAAGCGGAAGCTTTCCGAATGAAATTCTTGCGGGTTCCTGTGAAACTGAGTACCGGCCACAAGACATGTTCCCCAAAAACACCACAAACCTCGTGCTCAAAATAAACACCACGAACCTCGTGCTCAAATTGAATGGCACGGTTGTCCGCTGAATGGAAGCAAGCACCCGCGTCATTCCCGGTCGCGCCCGGACTGCCGCATGCCGTCCGCTTCCCAATGCCATCCGCAGCCTCATCTGCTGCCGTTCGGCTTGCGCCTTCGCAACACCCAAAGCGCGGGACATCCAGACCCGAAGCTGTTTGACGAGGGCTCGGACCAGATATCCTGTTGCGGCTCCACTCTACCCTGGCTGGTTGACTCCCCTCAAAATTGCAGAATGCACAAACATCTTCCGCTTCTACCTGCAAGTCCATGGAATCTTCTTGGCCAAACGTACCAGCTGCTTGAAAGGCTGAACACCAAAGAATCTTGAGGGTACCCTTTTTGCCCTGGTTGAAAGGCTTCAAAAGCAAAAGACACACCCACTTCGGGAGTTCGGCGTACAACAAAGAAGCCCTGCGTGCCACTTCCAGAAACACACTGATTCCCCTTCATGCACAGGAACCATAATATGGAAGGGCTCACCTGTTTTGGGGGGGGATACGCCGGCTTGTTGCGTGCACCTGGGAGCACGCTGCCCCGCTCCACCTTCACGTCCCGGCCCTCAGCCTTGGCGAGGTCCTGGCGACCGACGGAGTGGAATCTGTGAAAACCCGCAAGCAAACGACCCACACGCCATAGTTCATGGACGCCCAGACAAGGCGAACTGGGGAGGGGAGGGCTATCCCTTATTGACCCCTTAAGAAGGCCTTGTTGAGGGCGTGGGATAGCCCCCCCTCCCCCTAGCCCCCTCTAGGAGTCCCTGAAGAGTTGAAGGAGGGATAGCCCAGTAAATCCGCAGGGGACACTTCCTAACAAGCTTCAAGTCTGAAGATTCCCGCTCGAGATTTCGGCAGCTCACAACTTTTCATGCCAATAGTAGAGTTCAATCCAGCTCCAAAGGGTCGGGACCCGAAAATCCACCGGTTTGGCTGAGGGGACCCCTAACAAATAAGCGGGCAAGCAACATCAAACTGTCCCTCGATTGTGTCCAACCTGCATGTCCATCCCCAACTCAGGCTTCCCAAAGCAAGTCATCTACCATGTCATCTACAGAAACCAAACATCATACACCCTTTTGCAGGTCCGCGTAAAGAACTACTTGAATCATCATCCTGCCATCTGCCTGGTACTGCCTGATCTTCTCGCTCAAATACGTGGCGCAAAGCGCCTTGCATGGACCCTCACGGGCGAGTCTGCGCACACATGCGGAAGGTGAAGCTGCGCTAAACGCAAGGTCCAGGCTCATTTTAGAACCGAGAGAATGGATGATATTCACAAAGTCTGCCACTGACAATCACACAGCCTTGTGGCCAATGAACGGCATGTGACTAAAACTTGTCCGGCCCTTGAAGTCTTTTGCAACATGGATTCAGCTTTCCACCAGCCGGTAGTTTGGATTGGGGTTTTGTGGTTAAGGGATTTCCCATTTGCCCTCTACAAAAGCCAGGGCTTCAATTCCCAAAGGTTGGCACTGAGACCCGTGCTGAATAGTCCAGGCGCGTCACCATGTTTGTCAGGCCACCCTGGCATCGCATTAACATGGCATCAATGATTGACGTCTGACAGAAAACACCAGGTGCAGCCGACACAGGTGGGCCCGGCGAAATTGACGAATTGCAGCAGCATCAGAATATGGGTACGTGTCAACATAGGGGGACTCCCAAAATGGTGGTTTCCTTTTGGTCTCCATTGACACGCACCCCCGCACACGCCCGCACACACGCACACAAACAAACTCAAACGCAAACACATACCCAAATGTAGACAGCCAGACACACAGGCACACATCACACGCACACAGACTCACACGCATGGCGCTGAGTTTCTCATGGACAGCATGGGCTAGCATACCTCACCAACTATAGAATCTCCCACCCTTGGGCCCGCAGAACATACCACAGGCTTCAGTTCGGGCCAGGTGATTGGAACATGAAACCAATCTCAGTTCTCACTCAGGGACATCAAAGTTGCAGCCAGCTTTTGGCAACTCTATCATATTTTTCAGGCGCACAAGGACAGAGCCCCAAAACTGTCCGCTGCCCCCAAGCTCTTCCTGTACATGGGAGCGTCACTTTTTGGGTTGGTTCCAAAGGCAATCAAAAGGCAAACAATCATTTCATCGGATCTGCAACTTTTGCCACAACCAAAGGGGAGGTGACTCTGTGGGGGAACTTGACCGCCCCAAGCCCATTGACTTTTGGTTCACGGTTCATGGCCCGGCCTGTCCAAACCAAGGGCTCATGGCCTGACCGATTCGAGCGCGCGCCTTGAAGTCCTGTAGCTCGAAGGCTGGGTCGTACTTCCTGTCACCCGAGCTTCCCGAGCCCGGCGGTTTGGAGTTTGGAGCTCCGTGGCTTGGTGGTTTTGATTGGGGTGTCCCAGTTACCCACTGACGCCAGGGTCCAAATCTCCGCCAACCCAAGGCACCAAGGGATACCTGATTCAAAAATGAGTGGAGAAGCTGGGGGTCCTGCAGGCGGGGGTTGGGATCCCCTTAGCGAGCAAGCGAGCAAGCAAGCAAGCAAGCAAGCAAGACAAGCAAAAAACATCCAAAACCACCAGCACAAGGCCAGCCAAACTCAGTGAGATGCTTTGAGCCGCGCGTTGGTAAACATGTCAAATCACAGACTCCCACACCACGGTGACACTCAGTTGCACAACTTGGCCAATCTCGCGGCAAGGGGGTTTCCCTTTTCTGGACGGGATCCGTTTGTTGGGACCCTTGCCCCGCTCAACAACCAAGAACTGGGGAAGACATGCCCCCACCCCCACGTATGCGACACCCGGTCTTGTCAAAGTCGATCTGGGAGTTCTTGAGAGTTCGAAGAGCCTGCGACGCAGGGATCCCGTCCACAATCTCCCGCAAATACCTGCACGGCATCGGGCTTCTCTGACATGTTGCTTTTCTGGCTGAACAAGTTGATGAGACTTCCACCCGGCATTGTGGGAGACTAAGTGAGTTTTTCACGTGTGATAAGGTTGTAGTTGAGCAATCCTAAAGCAACGCCAATGACAATTACTCATTGAGACCATGAGACGTATATAGTCGTGGTTCAGTGATCCCGGAGACTATTCCCTTCGACTTGCGCGGACAGCGCTGACACGCCTTGGCGTTATGTGGCGCTTGCTACCTGAGGCAGGGCGGAATGATTCAACCAGCAAAGAGCTCGCCCTCAGAAAGACATTCTCCAGGCCCCAACAAACTGCTTGACTTGTTGCACGAGTGCCTTGATTCCGCCCTTCGCACCGTGCAGGGTATAAACCTCTCCCTCCCTCAGCGAGACTTGTCCAATCATAGGACTCAATTGAATAAAGGCCTCAAGCCGTCGGCCAGTGTCCGGCAATAACGAAGCGCGGCCCGGAAGCTTCGACGGCTCTTTCTTGGCCGTCGGCTAAGCAAGGCAGTCTCATCATCGTGGTGCTCCTGGAGAATTCTAGTCACAATATGTTGTTTGAGATGTTGCCAAGTCATGCTGCTCCGTGCATCCAAGGGTTGCTACATGTTGCTACCAGCTTCAAGACATAGGTATGACTTCGTGCTGGTGACAGTTGGGTGGACATCAATTCCATGGTGATTGATGCCCACCAACCTCGCAAGGTTGTTCCCCATTCAAATTCGCATGAACTGCTTTCACAGGTCAAGGCATTTTGATGGATTTCGCACTTCAATCGGCGGAAGGAAGCCAAGAACCCTACTGGTTTCCCCTAACATAGGGTAGAAGTAGGGCGGTGCTGTTAGTGATAGATGAGGCCCGCCTTGTCCTTCCTTCATCAACGCAAGGCTGGCTGTCATACTAGCAGCTTTTCAAATCGAAGCGTATCAGGATAAACATCGCGCGATCCTTCAACAGCGCAGTTTCAATTGTAACCCTGCAGTGAGCAACCAGCAACTGAACCAGCGAAATCGGTGTGTGGCAACGATTGTTGCAGACTGGAGCAGCTTCCTAGGACCTCTCCCTCCTTCGACAATGCAGCTTGCCAATGGTTTACGAGTGGCGGAAGATATTCAAGCTTCGCAGCACCTGTGAGCTTCAGGCTTGAACTTGATCAGTGTCCCTACCATACCTACCAAACATACACATATAGCCTCCGCCGACCCCTTCTTGCCAAAAGGCAACAAATCATTGTTGCACTGATCATTAAATCATAAGTTCATAAGTTATGATCATCAAAAACATGTTCATACTCAACAAAAAGCGGAGTGAACGCATGGCTCGTTTTCGCGCCCGTTGGCAGTCTGGCTCCAATGTGAGATTCTTTCGTTGGCAACCCCCGTACATATATACATATATTTGTGGAGGTATTATTTTCATATATATATATATATATATACATAATGTTATGTTGTCTAACGTGTGTTCAGACTGGGGTCGGCGAAACAGGGCGGCAGCCCTTGAATCATCTACCTTACTCAACCACAGGACTGTGGCTCTGCCTGTGTCCAAACTCCAGCCAGGATTCTCCGGACTACCCCATCTCATCCTGATCTCGCATTTATATCGTCGATATGCGGATGCCTCAGGTGAGTGGCGCCATGATGCAATCGACCAAATGGCCCATGGATGGGCGAAAGTCTTTTCCACTCCCAACGCAGTTTCGTATTCCCTTCTCGTGCTCGGCTGCTATTATCTGGTTTGCAAACGCAAGCTTGTTCTGGCACAAAAAGGCTTCCAGCCCATACAAAGTCTCCATTTGTCTGGACCGACGACCCGCAACACGTGCCAGTGTCCTTGCACAAGGCATCCCAAATGTCCGTCAGCTTCCTGAGAGATTTTGTCAATCCGTGTGCGCTCTTAGCAGGTGCGTTGACTAGGCTTTAGGGAGCTCAGTGCCAACACATCCAGCCAGGGGTACTTAAAGGGGCAGGGTGCTGAAGTGGTTGCTAAGACTGATTATAACCCACTTAGCCGACTTACAACCATGGTAAGTGGAGTTATAATCATGGTTGTTGCCCGCTTACTAAGTACCCTGCCCCTTCAAGTAGCAAAATCATAGCCAACTCTTGATGCCCTGCATCCATCCATGACCTGCGTACACACATTGGCATTCGCATGTTGCAACAAATGATGCCGAGCCTGGAAACACCTTGTCGTCAATCTTTGTCCAGCAGTACGGCTCAACACTTCTGCTGGATTGCACAAACATCTCTGTCATGAGTTTCCGAACAAGAGTAGCAATTGACCTAGCATGTCTTGTCGGACATGCCTACACATATTAGTAGCGCATTTGTCACATGTCACATTACGTGGCACTTCAAAGGACTCCATCAAACAGAGATACCCCTCTAAATGCAGCTCTCGAGGACAGAGCTTTGCTCTCTGCTTTGGTGAATTTGACTAGTCCAACTTTGTGGAAAACCAAAGAATTACTGCAAAATGCTACAGGAAACACGAAGTCGCCAAACAGCCGGTAGGTTTTTTCTCGCCACAGTCAACGGGGATATCTGTGACTCGAAACGTAGGACTACACAAGCGGGAAACTCAAAGGGCCTTTGCTCAAGGACGATGATCCCACTGGTTACACACACTGTGGCGCCTTCAGCAAACGCAGAGATTCATGAGTTCGCGCATCATGTCAAAGAGCTTGCAAGAAACACTCTGCACCGAGGTCAGTCGACAGGCAAATGCTAAGTTTCCGACACGCGCTCTTTGCGCTTGTTCTGCTGGTGTCGGCGAAGAATGTTTTTCGTCTGCAGGAATCATGTGTACCGTGCGCAACTCGCTTGAGAGCGCGGGTGTCCCGCAAAGGAAGACACTGCAACATGTAATCTATCTAAGTGATGTAAACGTTCCTCAATCCCATGTAATCCATTCGTACATGCTTGTGCCGTATTTCTTTCACAACTTCCAGCCTGTTGGAACAATGAGTCTGCATTCTTGGCATCATCCTTCACCACTGCATAAGCCCTCAGTCTGTGTACAACACGCGGTTAGCCGGGTCCGATCATGAGAGGCAATATCACGATCTCGTCCATCAAGCACCGGCGTGGCAGTGCATGTCATGCTATTTGTGCGTTGGCCGTTCGTGCATGAATGTGTGTGTGTGTAAGTATCTTAAGGATGAGAGGTACCGTAACATGCAGAGGCTGTCAACGCCTGAAAGAGAAAGGCCAGCTGGCCCAAATGTATATGGTGCACGATACCCCCCAACTAAAGCGCGAATTCCAACACAACACGGGTATCTACGGTGCTTATTATTAGATTTGAAATCTCAAGGAATCCAATCCCAAACCATCTCCTGGCAACTTCCATGTAGGCCTCCAAACACAAGAAGAAACAGAAACTAGCTCACACTGCTGTCTCTTGCTCTTGCGCTCTCAAGCAGAAAGCCACGAACAAACAACTCTAAAAAATAGGTGCTTCTGTTTGTTCCTGTTTTTGCTTGGCTGCTTGTGCCTATTAAAATAACCTCAATGTAGGCCTCCGAATATAAGAAACATGCAACGTAGCTCACATCTCCCAACCAAAGAACCTAGAACAACAAAGTGCACTTACGTATTGTGAAAGGAACATGGCTGACAGCTCCCATATGACAGATACATCTCAACCAAGCGTTTCTTTGTTTTGCTGACTTTTCGGTTTGGCTGCCCCATTTGGCACGGCCCCGCGTGCGCTCTTGCACATCGGTTAACCCTCTGCGCACTTTGGGCGGGTGGACCAAAATGCTCGTGCTTTTTCTGCATTGTTCACTTTCGCGTGCTGGTGAGAAAGAAAGAAAGAAAGAAAGAAAGAAAGAAAGAAAGAAAGAAAGAAAGAAAGAAAGAAAGAAAGACAGAAAGACAGAAAGAAAGAGAAAGAGAAAGAGAAAGACAAGAAAAAGAGGAGGAGAAGGAGAAGAAGAGAAGGAGAAGAGAAAGAGTTAGAGAAAGAGAAGGAGCACAAAAGATCAAGACAAAGACTCAGAGGAAGAACAGAGAACATATGGAGAACGACAAACATAGTGGGAGAGAGAGAAAGAAAAGGGGACAAGAAGCGCGCTCCAAAACATTCATCTTACATTTTGACACTCCCCTGGACATTACTGCAATGGGCCGAATTAATCACTCATAAACTGACCCAAACATGATAGACCTGGTACAGTATATATTATATATATATAATGCTCCCGAAGATGAACCTCCTAGATCATCAATATTTTGGAGTTGACACGCAGTTCTAGCCACCAGAATCTGGTGACAGACTTGGTTGCATTGCTGGGTGGCTAGTTTTGACACAAGCAAATGCTTCTGGGGGAGGGGCTAGCTAATGACACAAAACCCAAGCAAGTTCTTCTGCACTTTTGCAAGCGTCTCCAGAGCCAAAGTCCATCTTTTACTCAACATGAACCGTGGACTCAAAATAAAAAAGCTAGGGCAAACCGCAGGTTACAGCCACATTGACATGAACCGTGGACTCAAGTGAATCTAGTGCAGCCTTGTTTGTGCCCGGCCCTTTTCAAGCATCTCCCCGCGCTCAAAAACACACACACACACACACACAAACCCATACACACACACACACCTCTGCGGCTGGGAAATAGGCTCCATGAGAATGGCCACCAGCATGTTCAACCTAGGATCTGGGCCGAAATAGGAAAACCGTTGCAGTGAAGCGTGAAGCGGGCGACATGGCACAGCCTTGCTGCCCCCTGCAAATATCAAATTCAACTAAGGAGAGGACAGCACCATGACCATGACCAGCATGAAGGAGAAGAACCTCGCATTCAACATGGCTACAACTCGGCGTCAACGGTCGCTAAACCGAGGGAGACTTGAGCGGTGGGCCAAGCGAAGGCCTTGTGGATGCCAATTTTCCCCATCCTGAGCAGGACGCTCACAATCACTTTTGACCAATAGACAGTCCCTTTGCACAGAAAATGCCCCCTGTCAGGTTCCATGTTAATTGGTGGAAGGGTAAATGAACGCGTGGCACTTAGCAAAACTCCTTATAGCCGCGACCAGAAAAGCCCATTGTGACGCTCCTAACTGGCTTGGTGCTTGAGATGCTTGAGTCAGTGAACTAGCGCAAACCTGCACGTGCATGAAATGAGTGTCACATCACTCAGACTGGCACGCGTCCCAGTCCCAATCTCCAAGCATTGCTCGGAAGCACCTTGAAGGCAAGCCGTGAACTTGGGATTGCAGCCGATACTAATGCATTGCTGTCACCTAACACAGTGCTGCAAAACGTGCATGCAACATGATTTCAAGCAAATACTGTATTGGCAGGCATCTTTTTTGGATGCTGAACAAATGATTGAACGCTGCACATCGCAATAAAATGAAGTGTCAGGAACCACCCGATGCAAGCCTGGCTCCGGCATCTGTGTTCACAAGAACAAGAACTTGCAAATAGGGCAAAGACGCGTGAAGGGCACGGTCCATAGTGGCAAAATCCAGCATATCCTGGGCAGAACTGTCATGACGGTTGTGTATATATGGTTGTAGGTTAACATGCACCTCACCAAAATGCATGTGCTGGAAACTTGAGCTGCATTTTAGCATTGCTTTCTTGCGTTGTTAAGACACTGTCCCAAAACGAACGCGGGCAGGCAAGCAACAGCAAATGCTCTCTCAATAGCAGATGACGGGTAATTGTGTGATGTCTGAAAGGTTTTGCGAGACATGGCTGCAATTCTGCTGGAAACCGCCCGGCTGAATGCTTGGTGGACATGAATCTCCATCTTTTCCTGATGTCCAGCTGTAAATTCATATATCACCTCCACTAACGCATTTGCAACCATTCTGAAAATGCGCCCTTTTGGCGTTCGGCGCTATCCCCGAATGAGTGAGTGGAGCCCGTCCTGCCCAAAGAAGATCACGGCATTCACCTGGCGAAAGGCAGCCCCGGAAGCCTAATCTATGCTCGTCACTCACAGATTCAGTACCCCTTGAAACATCCGCCAGGAACCTCACGCTGAATTGGCTACGGTGACGTCTTTTCAAAACCACCAAAAGCGGAAATATTGGGAAGTCTGACTCACCTGGAGGAGATTGATCAAAACGATGCAGTGTCTGGTGTCCCTCTCCAATCATGTTTCTTGCGTGTCTTTGTCTGCCTAATCGCAAAATGTCAGTGTATATCAACATGTGTTAGCTATGATCAAGCCACCCTATTTCGGGTAAGAATGACCTGCAACGCCTCGAACGTATTGCATCCTGTCAATGTGCATTCACATTCACTCGGAACGCGCATGCGCACACAATCGGCTTCAACGCGGCAGTATGACGGCAAGGCAGAAATAGACAGAGAGGAACACAATGGAGAAGTGTATCAGATCGTTGTAAGCCACTCTGAACGTGTCTGTGACCTCAGCGTCACGCTTTGCAGAAGCTTGGAATAATCCAGGTGTGCTAGAAACGCACCCAAAAGTGATGTTGAAGGGTTGCTAGAAGCTGCTAACATAGATGCATGGTGCTGGGTAGTGGCAAGCTGTTCAAACACCTTCTGACCTTGTCCTCCGAAGCTCACAGCGAGGAGCTCTGCGTTGCAAAAACAATCTTCAGCGGACAAAAGACATGATGTTGGGTGACGATCCATGACGGTGTGTAGATCTGTGGACGTGTTCTTGAAATTTAGAACGCTGGGCAGTGCTTGGAAACTGAGAACTAAGTAGATAACCGACCCTAAGAAACAATCACTGGATACTAGACACCATATGCACACAACAAACCAAAGTTGTGTGGAACAAACAGACAGACAGACAGACAGACAGACAGACAGACAAACAAACAAACAAACAAAACAAACGCACAAACAATCAAACACACAAACTGACAGACACACAAATGATCAAACATTCATTCACTCATTCAACCAACCAACCAACCAACCAAACAACCAACCCACCAACCAATCAATCAATCGATCGATCGATCGATCAACCAACCAAATCAAATCAATAAACAAACAAACAAACAAACAAACAAGCAAGCAAACAAACACACACACACAAACAAACAAACAAACAAACAAACAAACAAACAAACAAACAAAACAAAACAAACAAACAAGCTGAGAAAACCAAACAAACCCACAAACCCACAAACCCATAAACCCACAAACAAACAAACAAACAAACAAACAAACAAACAAACAAACAAACAAACGAAAAAACACACAAACAAACAAACAAACAAACAAACAAACAAACAAACAAACAAACAAACAAACAAACAATCAAACACACAAACAAACAAACACACAAACAAACAAACAATCAAACAACCAACCAACCAACCAACCAACCAACCAACCAACCAACCAACCAACCAACCAACCAACCAACCAACCAACCAACCAACCAACCAACCAACCAAACAAACAAACAAACAAACAAACAAACACACAAACAAAACAAACAATCAAACACACAAACAAACAAACAAACAAACACACAAACAAACAAACAAACAATCAAACAACCAAACAAACAAACAACAAAAACAACAACCAGGACATCAAACAATGACAAACACACAAAAACAGGGACACCAAACAATCAAACAAATAAACACACAACCAAACAACTAGCAAACACGCAAACAACGACACACACGATGAACCAACCAACCAATCAACACAAAAAGAACAAGTCAACACAGGTCAAGTCAAGTCAAGTTGAATCAAATCAATGAATCAGTGAATCAATGAATCAATCCATTCAACCCAACAATCAATCAAGCAAATCAAGCAAATCAAGCAAATCAAGCAAATCAAGCAAATCAAGCAAATGGGTCAAAATTAACCACCAGGGGACCGCAGGTGTTGGTCCATGTTTTCACTTAGTAGGGATCAATTTGGGGTACCTATTTTTGACCCACAGCCAAAATAAGGAAAACAATCAAATCAATCAAATCAATCAAATCAACCAAATCAATCAAATCAATCAATCAATCAAATCAATCAATCAATCCATCCATCCATTCGATTTATCAATCAATCCAATCAATCAAACAATCAGTCAATCAGTCAGTTAGCCGATCAGTCAATCAATCAACCAATCAACCAATCAAACCAATCAAACCACCAACCAATTAATCCTTCAATCCACCAACCCATCAATCACGCAAACACACAAGCACACACACACACACATGCACACAAACACATAACAACCAACCAAACAAACCAGCAAAACAGCAAGCAAGCAAGCAAACAACCAAACCAAAGCAAACCAAAACCAACCAACCAAACAAACACACAATAACCCACAGCCACGCGCAGACGCACCAAGCAAGAGCAGGCAGGCAAGCAAAGCAAGCAGGCAAGAATCCAAACAACCAATCAAGCACGCGATCAAGCAACCACGCAAGCAAGCAGGCAGGCAAGCAACCCACCAATCAACCAACCTACCAACCAACCAAAAAGCATAATCATCAGCAACACGCAAACCAACCAGCGAACCAACAAAGAGCAAACAAGCAAGCAATCAAACACAACAACAAACCATTGAACAAACGCATGCACACACACACAAACACAAACACAAACACAAGCACAAGCACAAACACGCACACACACACACACAGACACAGACACAGACACAGACACAGACACAGACACAGACACAGACACAGACACAGACACAGACACAGACACAGACACAGACACAGACACAGACACAGACACAGACACAGACACAGACACAGACACAGACACAGACACAGACACAGACACAGACACAGACACAGACACAGACACAGACACAGACACAGACACAGACACAGACACAGACACAGACACAGACACAGACACAGACACAGACACAGACACAGACACAGACACAGACACAGACACAGACACAGACACCAACACCAACACCAACACCAACACCAACACCAACACCAACACCAACACCAACACCAACAAACACAAACACAACAAACAAAGAAGGAAAAAAACATGAAGAGCAACCAGCACGCGTGCACACACACACACACATGCATTGCTCAACATGGACCCCTGACGGGACAGCCTCACTCATGTCAGTGCGGCACTCCCAGGTGTTTGGCTCCCGAAACCGGCACTGGCTCTGGGCAGCACGCGATGGCTAAGCGCTTCTGGGCAGCAAAGGACCTGAGATGTCATCGTGGACACAACGACATTGGCCTCTGGCACATCTGATTTGGTGGCTTGATGCCATGCCGAGCCCATGTCGAAATGTGGAAAAAAGGCTCAATGCCCTTTGTGATTGTGGATTCTGATGGATTCTGAGCGCTGAAATGTGACGCACTTGCGCAGTGACTGCACGTCGGCGGCGTCTGAGCTGAAGGCTTGAAGAGTCGCATGAGGAGAACCTTGCGACAAACCTTTTTGCTGGACCCTGAGATCGGCACGTGTCCCCGGAATGAGGGGAACCCCCGAAGTGAAGAGCTTCCTTCCAGAGTCTCCAATTCTTCCACTGTTTCAAAGCATGTCCGCTCCGGAAACCGAGAACTGCAAATATGAAGCTGCAACCTCTTGAAATGTGGACATGCAACCTGTCGTAATTGGATCGCTGGCATCCTGCCCACTTCGTTCCGTGCTCACTGCCAACTTTGAGAAGTACCCCCATGTGCCTTCTCAACTCCCGTGGACCAAGTCAAACTCATCGTGCCCTCTCGGTGCAGTAGACAATTTTGATGCATGGAGGCATGCCAGGCCCAGCTAAATCTTGGCTTCACTCATCGAGGCATGCTTTGAGCTCACGACCACCGGGTAGATGCACAGCCAGAAGCGGAATGTCCCTTCCTGTCTGAAATGCCGTGCATCTGCCGTGCAAATGCAAAGCAAATAACATATTCAGTGCCACAGTCAAAATCCCTCAAGTGGAGTCCTGGTTCCAGACGAAGGAAAAACCCTTACAAATTGCCTGTCCCAAGTCCTTGCTAGAGGATTGATGCGCATGGCATACATGAGTGCCGACTGACAGTGTTGTATCAAAATGTGATCGACATGGTAGGGACATGATATCAAAACCAATCAACAGGTAAATTCACTCGCAGATTTATGCTGCATCGCTTGGCTTCGTTGGGCATGCTTCTGACTTCGAACCCAGTCCATGTCGAGCATCGCCACGACGCGGTTCACAAACTCAGACACCTTGCTTGCAGTTTGGCAGGGGCAACCTTGCAATAGCTTACACGCGCAGTGCACTGCGCACGAGCAGAACCAAAACATTCTCCCGCGCCATTTTCGGCTGACATCCGCGCGAAGCCGCTTTGCGGCATTTTCTTGCAGACTCTGTCAAAAAAGGCTACAGTAATCCCTCCAGTAAGCCCACGAACATGGGCCGCCAATCCAAAGCGCAATCCGCCCGTAAGCGCAAAGGGAACAGGCCATTGATTTGGCCGCTCCGCACTTGTGATCGCGGAAAAATCTGAGCTGGGCGAGATCGCATGGTACAAACTTACAAAGAATTTGAGGAGCAATCCCCCGAAAACTGCAGACAGGCCGAGCCAACTGATTTGGAACGCCTCTTTCAACAAGCAGAGGGCAAATCTATTGCCATCGCACCAAAGAGTGGCGCACCATAGGCGACTCATTCGGTGGCCGACTTCAGAGCAGCAACCTGGTGTCGCTTGAGAAATCCAAGGGCAAAAGTTCGAATGATGTCTGATTTTCTGGAGGCTGGAATGGTGGCGCTTGCTCAGAATGAACAGCGCAGCTGTTGCTACATCAGCTTGGGCTCTGTAGTTGAGATCAACAACCTGTTTCGATGCGGGCAAAGCAAGAGGCATCCTTGTCAGCACATGTCGATCAATGAACAGCACAACGGCATGTAACTGGGCACTCGCACTCAGGAATACAGGTGCGCTAAGATTCCATCAGGGATTCAGTCTGTCGAAGTGGTTGGCCCCACTTTCAAAGGGAATCTCCTCTGGCTAAAGGGGCAACTCATATTGCAAGTGGTCCTTCTGGAACATCTTCAAGTTTACAGGCAGAACAGGGGTCTCCATATTCGAGCGGGCAACTTGTCATGTATTCCCCATGTTATCGGCCCAACAGCCGCAATTTCTTCCTATCTGAAACATACAGTTTGATTCACTGCGTGTTGGACTTTCAGTACAGACTTGCATAACATGTTGTGGGTTGGCTGGTTTACAGATGCCTTGACTGAAGCAGCAGCATGTGGCTGCATTTGGCTCATAGCATTAATTTCGATTAGGAACCTGGCAAACATAATTTCCAGCGGAATCTATGATGTCCACCAACCATTTTCTATGATGTCCACCAACCATTTTGGAGGGTGCTCAGTGTTGCCCAGGTCCCCCAGTAGTGCCCTTTTACTTTTTTTGGGGAGGGTTCCCCTACTAAAAAAAGGGTACCCTTATTCTAACCTCTCTACTGGAGGACCATGTCGCCCTGCAAAATGCAAAGCCAGATCAAGCGGGTCTGAGGCGAACTCCGCAATCCTTGCCAAGGCACCATTTGTTCTACGTCCTTCTCGCTGTTGGCCCTGCGTGCCAAAGGGCAGGTGTCAGTAACTCCGGAACTCCAATCGCATCCCACATCAAGCGCAAGCTTGATTGCCTTTACAACCACCGGGAGAAGACAAGAAATATCTTCCTTTCAGCAACTGGAAGAAATGGGGTCCGATTTTAACACCCAAATGGCCCCAAGCGGTCCGATTCTCTTTCGAAGCTTTCCAAGTGGAAGTTTCTCTTTCTCTGGATATGGGTCACAAATAAATTACGTGGATATGGACCGCAGGTTCTCCATGGTCCCATTTGGCCATGGGTCAAAATCATTCAAAATCCAAATCGTACCTCCAGTGAACATCCCAATCCCCACTAACATAGGTTCTAAAATGGGTGGTGAATTCACCAATCCCAACCAAAATGGGATCCCAAAACGGTTTTGACAACCACAGCCATTTGCCAGGGCAAGCCATGTTGATGGCCCTCAGCCTGTTGAGCCCGTTTTCAAACCGCAGGCTGAGGCCGCTGCGTCCACGAGGCCACGTGCTTCGCTTGGGGCGTGCGATCCAAATAGAAACCCGCAGCCTGGATCCTCAGCGTTGGTCAAGGCGCGGGTTCGAACGGCCCAAAGGACGCACAAAAAGGCAGGGATGACATGGGAATGGGACTTGGGTACATAAAAACTACAACTATGAAACATACACCATGTTCAATTTGAGCCAACAACAAATTGGTTCTTGATGTCAAAAATGAACGATTCTGTGCTGCACGACTCTTGAAGGACGTTTTACAAGTCTCCGGCTTCACATGCCCAGGGTGCTGCAAGAAAGGTCAGCTCAATTGGAGCAGTTGGGTATGTCCGTTTTTAGGGGACCCCGCAAAATGGTGGTGTCTTGGCTTCATTTGAAATCAAAACAGATACGGGGTATCCTTCAAACAAAAAACACCCAGTTCTCAGGGAAATGGTGTTCCTTCTGGCTTCCTTTGAAACAAAAAAACAACCGCGGGTACCATCCAAAAAAAAAGAGAAGAACACACCCAGCTCTCAGGTCTCCATTTGGAGCACTGCCACGAGTGGCGATGGAACGTGCAGCCATGGATCTCATCGCCTTCTGCCACGCAGAGCCAGCAGATCCCCTCTGCTCCCTCCCACAAGCTGCGCATCGGTTTCAGCCAACTCCTCATGGAGCCATACGCAAACTCGACACCTCGGCTTTGGCAAGTCAAAAAACCGAAAGATCAAGTCTTGCGGTAGAAATGTGAATGCTTCCACAACTTGAGGCAGCGTGGAGAGTATGCATGCCACGTTTCGAGTCTTGCACTCCGCTTCAGGTGACTCCGCTTCAGGTGACATTGCAAATGTGTAAAGCTATGCATCATACTTATGACATGTCCGCCTCTTACTTGACATGACACAGCTTCTTGCACAGCAAGATGCAGCAACTCCGCTTCCAAAGCGCAAACAATTGCATAATTCAGCCCAAGCGGAAACAAACGTGCTGCAAAGGTTAGCGCAGTTTCTAGCCACAGCCTTGAAACTCTTTTTTCTTTTGAAACACATTCTTTCTGCACTCAGTGTCAAATAGGAGGGGTGTGGAAAAACACAACCCTGGGTTTCCTTCTGGAAAAATACAAAAAATACAATTCAATATGTAGTGTAGCATCCAGTGCCAATGAGTTCAAATTGGTTCCTCAAGGAGGATGAACCATGAGGTCATAGCCCAAAGCAAGATCGCGCAGTTGCCCCGCTCTTAGCGCAACCTTTTCACAGCAGTGAAGCCTGAGGAGCCAACCTGGTGTATCTGTCCAGCCAGGGTGGCAGCTCACGAACTTGATCTGCTCCTTAGCTCGGATCAAACAAAAGAACAGCAGCCTGAGAGGCCGATTTTCGTGAATGCGCTCCAACCAGTTCTCTCGAATTGCCACGCATCTTGTAGCTGGGGTGGCTTTGCACCCCCCACATAACATGTAAAGCGACACCTGCAAATTAGCCAACTGCCATTTGCGCATTGATTGTCTGGGATGTCTGGGCATCACAATCCAATTTGTCACCAGTACCCGTTTCCTTAGCCCGACCACTGCGCCCATGCCGTTGGCAACCTAGAGATTTCTGCCTTCGGGGGCTGCTTTGCGCCTTTTTGCCTTCATTCCGCTTCCAATGGATAGCACCCATGCCGAATTGGAGCACAAGGGCAAGGCTTGGCAGTCAAGATTCCCCAGGCTCCTTCGCCCAGTGCTCGCACAACAACACCTGCAGGCGTTGCTTGAGCTTGAGCTGGGTGACCCCGCGACACTTGAAGGAATGAATGGCACCCCAGGGCCATGCTCGACTCCTTGTCGGCATCAGTGCTTACACAACTTCTAGGCCATGACCAAGCAACAGACCACTGGTATGCAGCAATCAACACGATTCCACTGCTCAATCAAAACATACATGTTGCATGCGTGTGCGTGCGTGCGTGCGTGCGTGCGTGCGTGCGTGCGTGTGTGCGTGCGTGGGTGGGTGTGTGTGTGTGTGTGTGTGTGTGTGTGTGTGTGTGTGTGTGTGTGTGTGTGTGTGTGTGTGTGTGTGTGTGTGTGTGTGTGTGTGTGTGTGTGTGTGTGTGTGTGTGTGTGTGTGTGTGTGTGTGTGTGTGTGTGTGTGTGTGTGTGTGTGTGTGTGTGTGTGTGTGTGTGTGTGTGTGTGTGTGTGTGTGTGTGTGTGTGTGTGTGTGTGTGTGTGTGTGTGTGTGTGTGTGTGTGTGTGTGTGTGTGTGTGTGTGTGTGTGTGTGTGTGTGTGTGTGTGTGTGTGTGTGTGTGTGTGTGTGTGTGTGTGTGTGTGTGTGTGTGTGTGTGTGTGTGTGTGTGTGTGTGTGTGTGTGTGTGTGTGTGTGTGTGTGTGTGTGTGTGTGTGTGTGTGTGTGTGTGTGTGTGTGTGTGTGTGTGTGTGTGTGTGTGTGTGTGTGTGTGTGTGTGTGTGTGTGTGTGTGTGTGTGTGTGTGTGTGTGTGTGTGTTGTGTGTTGTGTTTGTGTGTGTGTGTTTTGTGTGTGTGTGTGTGTGTCTGTGTCTGTGTCTGTGTCTGTGTCTGTGTCTGTGTCTGTGTCTGTGTCTGTGTCTGTGTCTGTGTCTGCGAATGTGTGTACATATACATGTGTACAGTATACACACATAATAATATGCGTACTTATGCAGTATACACGCATTCTGAACCCTGTCATCAAAGGGAAAATAATCATATCAAACTATCTAAGCAAACACAACTTGATATCTTCCCGGCTACACAAATCTACGCGCTGCCACAATCGGTCATACCAGAACCGGCTCGGTTCCCAAGAGCCGGCTTCTCACTTTGAGGGAACACGCAAATTTCGGAAAGGAATTTTCCTTTCAGCCAGCATGAAAGCTTTCAACAAATGTCATCATTTCGAGTGCTCGGGGCTAGCCAGACTCCGAAATTCAGGGTGCTGTCTGCCTTTGAAGACGTGTTCCAAGCACATGCCTTGCTAGACTGTGTCTCATTGCGGTGTTCGTCTTTGCATTCATGATTGCTGTTGTTGTACGTCCCCCTGATGGGCTGGCAAAACGGCTTGTGCTTTGACTTTGATCATAGCCACTCATCAAGATCAACAGCACGCACACACACACAAGACCCACAAACAGGGGACGAGGTCAACTCTGGCTCCCCTCACATTTGGATGCC